ACCCCACAGCCGCAGGGAAAAGGTGCTGCACCCATTTCAGCCTTGGGCTGCTAATGCACCAGCTGGGGAGAGATCAGAAGCTGCTGGGTTTCCGGTCATGTGCTGGCAATGGGGGGGCCAGGGCTGCCAGGGCTGGCGGAGGAAACCGGATGCCCCCCACCCCCTTCGCTCCTGAGGTGGGGAGGAAACAGGAACAGGGCCTAGGCGGAAGTGGCCTGGCCTTCTCATGGTGGGCGTCTGCTACTTGGAGAGCAGTTGGTTTGCTACACCTGCTGGCTTGGCTATTAATACTTCTAAGGGCAAGGGCATCCATGGTTTGCTTTGTTCCCTCAACAGTGAAGGCTCTGGATACCCAGCCAAAACCTTTCTGTGCTTGTCCAATCAGATTGGGCAAGATTTAATATGGCTTTGAACTCAGTTCCCAATGTCCTTCTTCTGAGCATCTTGTCTTTTCTGTCACTGTCAGGAACTGTGTTTCTAGTCCTTAAGGCTGCAAGAATCAGGTTTGAAATGTAGAGGTAATAGCTGTGAAATTTCAGAAGAGTTTGGAGGGTCAGAGGGATTACAATGTGTAGAGGACAGTTCTAATGGTTGTTCCTCTCACAAAAGAACAACAGTGAGGTAATGTCCGCTGGGGGGGGGGGGGTAGCATCAAACTAGTGCTTATGATTGAGGGATCGAAGCTGTACCTCTTTATCATGTGTCCAAGGCATGCAACATATGCAATGCACATTAAAAGGGGGCAGGGCCTGAATTGCCGGGTTGCAACCACCGTTTTGACGCTGTTGACTCCCATCTGTGGACCCCCCTGCGTATCTGTGCTGATTTTCACCAGTTGTGACAGATTTCAAAGTACAGAACTTCTTGGCCCCAGTATTTACATTTTGTCTGAATTGCATAGCTTTCCACCTGAGTTTCTGCACCCTCCATTAATAGATAGGAAGGAAAATTCTGAGAGGAAGAAGTATTTGAGTGGAAAAGCCCTAAAGCCATGTTCCAAAGCAGTCTGACAGGTCAGGGGTTGCAAAGGCAAACACTCTCTCTATGTCTCTCCTCTCTGCAGTCCCCCCATTGCCACTGCTGGTTTGCTGCTGAATGGCCTGGGGAGACCGTGTCCAGGGGGAGATGGGAGGGTATGTGCCCACACCAGCCCAAAGTGGCCAATAGGGTGGTGGGCTGATGTCACTCATGGGGGTTACCTGATTTCAGCAGTCAATACTCTTCCTATCCTGCTTCTTTGAAGTCCAACGTTTGCTTCCATAGAGTGTCACACGGAATACCATGGCTTGCATGATTCTGAACTTTGTAGGTACAGTCACCTCTTAGCAACTGAATATTTTTCCAAGGCCTTCAGAATTCTTAGTCTGTGGTATGTTTCTTGACTGCTGGTTCCTTTACTGTTGATGGTTGATCCTAAGAGGCAGAAGCTGTCCACCACTTCAATGTCTTCATTGTCAAGGAGTTTTTTTTTAATCTACTGAAAATACAATTGAGGGGAGAGATGATGGCAATCTTCAAATATTGGAAAGAGGAAGAAAGAGTGGGCTTATTCGCTATTGCCCCAGAAGGTAGGATGAGAACCTGTAGGTTAAAACTACTAGGAATGAGGTTCAGGCTAGACGTCAGAAGGAATTTCCTGACTATATGAGGTGTCAGGCAGTGGAACAGGCTGCGAAATGTAGTAGTGAGTTCTCTTTTGCTGGAGGTCTTCAAGTAGCGATTGGATGGTCATCTTTCAGATGTAGTGGATCCTACACGGAGTGAGGGGTTGGCATAGATGAAACCTAGGGTCCCTTTGATTCTATGATTCAATAAATGGGGAAGGGCTGGGACCTAATCCAGATACAACTACACCTATGGCAATACCCAGAAGTATGTTGCCCCTGTTACATGCTCCCCAAATAGATTGTGATGTTGTATAACTTTTATATATTTTATTGCTGTGGCAGGACCTTGTTGGTTTGTACAGGAAAAGCTACCTTTAGTCCAGAATACCAAGTGATGGCCGTCAGCTGGTTGAGTGCTGGGCTGAGAACAGGTAAAGATAGGTGGATGAGATGAAGGAGAAACATGAGGCTTTGGGTGGGGCGTGGAGGAAGCATACTTGGGCCCATTTAAGTTAGAAGAGGAAACAGAACCTTGATTTCCTGGCACCCCCATCTTTCATGAGACCCCTGCAATCACCCCTACCCCCATCCCAATAACTCCTGATCATTAAGAGCAGCTCTTTCTCGATTTTCTTTCCTCCCTGTTTCATGGGGCTGAGAGAGTCAGTGATATGGGAACA